CCTCGGGCCGCCACCATGACTTCCAGCAAGATCGAGATGCCCGGCGAGGTGAAGGCCGACCCCGCCGCCCTCATGGCGTCCCTGCACCTCCTGCCGTCGCCTACGCCCAACCTCGAAATCAAGTACACCAAGGTAAGCGGCCGCCCAGCGCCCGCCGTCCACGGAGACTTTCTAGAACTTTCCTTCCCCTCCGCGACCTCGCGAGGGGCCGCGGCCGGCGCGATGGGGCCAGGGGCTGGGGCGCCGGGACCAGCCCGTCATCCCCGCGCGGCAGAGGGGCGCCGTGACCTCCCGAGGGAGGGGGGTTGTGAAGTCCCGCCGCGGTCTTGGGGCGCCTCGGGGACGTGCCCCGACCCCAAGCGCCGCGCTCGGGCGTCGCCGTCCACGGCTCCCGCCCCCGCCCCTGTGTGCAGCCGCTTGCCGGGCCCGCTCCCCGGGCCCGAGCGTCGCGGAAGGCGTCGGAGCCTCCGGCCTCCTCTGACGGGACGAGGGGGTCCCCCGCCGGTGGGCCGCCCGCGCAGCCTGCGGTCGCTTCCCGGGCCTCCGCCTTCGGGGCCGCCCCGCTGCTGGTGCCAACCGGGTGGGTCCTCGCGAGCCCGGACCGCGCGGAGCGGCTTCCCCGTAGGAAGGGTCAGGACTCGGGCGCTGCGGCCGCTCTGACCCATTTCACGGAGACCCGGCTGGTAAGGACACGGGCGCTCCGGCGTCGGGTTTGACTTTTGCAGGCGGTGGCACTTTCCCTGGAGAACTGAGAAGTTTTTAATGCGTGCGAATGAGCAAGTTCGCTTCTGAACGGAAGAACTTACCTTTTTAATAACGAACTTTGACATCCTGGGTTTACCAAGCAGGACTTTTCTTGTTGCACCGCCTTCCAAAAGATAGGCGCCCGCCACCTAATATAAATTGAATTTACTTTCCCCTCCGTAAGTTGGACATGGAAAAGAAACCTGATCAATTACAAACCTGGGGGAATTGTAATTTTATAATGTTTTGGTGGGAGGGGAGATAGATGGGATTTAAAGCCACATTTCTTGGAGTTCATTTTGTAGTTCTCTCGTTTGATTTTTCTGTTCCTTTCAGTAGATCTCTGCACTAAACTTCTTCTGATTAACCCAAGCACAGGCACACACAACATGGTGAAAAATACGCTCCATCGTGCTTATTACAAGAGAAATTAAACTTTGTGGAGAAGTAAGTTGTTAGCTTTTGGCTTAATGGTTGAAAGAGAAATACAAAACCAAACCCCATCAGAATATTGAAGTTTTGCTTAGACTGAGTTTTAGGATACAAATCAGGGTGATTGTGTTTCGAATGTCGATTTAGATGGATTTGAGGTACCTGTTAGCTTTTTTAGATGGTGTGACAAATTTTTTAAAGCTGTTTTAATGAGAGGTCGTTAATGGTTATAGCCTTTTAGGCATTGTTTGCATAACAATAGTGCCAATGTGTGGCATTTCTCTGGGTTTAGGAACAAGCAGGGAAAGCATGCAGCTTAAAAGTTTTGTTTTATGAGGGTCCCTAACCTCTTCAGGCTCCTTTTAAAGGTCTTAAGATACAAGATCTACACAAGAGTAAGGATCTAACCCTTATATTTGCGCAGGTTTGGTTTTAGTCGTATTTTTTATGGGATTTTTCTAATAGCGTCTGAAAGAACTTTTAGGCATGCAGAAGATATCTTTTTCAGAATTTAATTTGGAAGTTCTTCCAGTTCTCTTCTGCCCTAACCACCCCCTCTCTCTTTTCTCTCTTGTTCTCCCCCAGTAGGAAAGACAACTGATTTATAGCTAATTGGAGCCTTTAATGTGGAGTCTTTTAGCTCAGGGAAGACTTTTATCCAGTATCCACTTTCCCACTTATTACAAAGAAAAACAATAAGAAATGAAATAATGTATTGTAACTCGATTCTTTAATTTGTGGGGAGGAGGTACCTTATTTTTGTCTTGACAAACAACCCTCATAAACACAGAGTAACACTAATCCAAAAGCGAGCTCTTTTCACAAAAACTTGTAAAATCAGGTATCTGTGAACATTCTCATCAGCTTTCCTCCTCAACTCTTCAGTGAGACTTCTAAATTTTCCTAGACAAGCATCGTGGACAAGCAGTTCTTTTCTTTTTAGCATTAAGATCAGAAGCTGCTATTTTAGTAGTACGGGGTAATGGATAATGATTTTTTACTTAAAAGAAAAATAAGACTAATAGAGGGTTATTTAAAAAATTAACTTATGATCAAAAGTGAGGGACATTACATCAGTAACTTCAAACAGAAGTATGAACAATGTAGGGTGAACAGTTAGTCCTTTAGAACAGTGAGACCATATTCGTTAGGAAATTTAAACAGGTGATGGCTAAAAAAATTATTACGTTTTAGGGCCTGTTGAATCAAACATTTGAAACAAACAGTATTTGTGTCAGAAAATGGTGCTATACGACGATCATACATGTATCATTCATTAATCGACAATCATAGACGTATCCTTCATTAACAGCTTTTGTCTTGTTAAACAAATACATCTTTAGTGAAGGATATGACTTTTTAATATGATTTTTTAGTGTGATTTTGTAACCATAATAAGGTCACTACTTAAAAATAAATGACTAGATTATGAGAATTTCAAGTAACATGCACTTAGAATACTTGACTCTTGTGATCTTGTATTTTTGTCTTTTTTCACTTTCTTCTTTCTTCTTCTAAAAGTAGTTCACGTTTTTTATAAAAAGGAATGGGGAGATCACTAGAATTAAAAGTTACTGTCTTTGTCATAAATCTAGTGGAAATGGCCCCAAATTAAAGTTTAGTCCCCAAGGATTTTGAAAGTGCTAAACTCATGGTTTTGTATACTTTTAGGCAAGTACATTTCACTTTAAAAATAAGCTTACCACTCTGAAGTTTCAGTATCCATTTTAGACTAATGGTCAATGGCAATACCATTTTTGGAATATGTCTATTTGTGTTTCCCTAATGCAGCAATCTGGGTCCCAGGCTTTAGCATGATTCTTTATTAAGAAAAATAAAATATTGGCCGGGCGCAGTGGCTCCTGCCTGTAATCTCAGCACTTTGGGAGGCCAAGGTGAGAGGATTGCCTGAGCCCACAGGTTCAAGACCAGCCTGGGCAACGTGGCGAGACCTCATCTCTACAATAAATCAAGAAATTAGCCGGGTATGATGGTGCACACCTGTAGACCCAGCTACTTGGAAGGCTGAAGTGGAAGGATCACCTGAGCCCAGCAGGTCTAGGTTGTGGTGGCTGTGAGCGTGCCACTGCACTCCAGCCTGGGCAACAGAGTGAGACTGTAACTCAAAAAGGAAGGCGGGAGGGAGGGAGGGAGGGAGGAAGGGGAAAGGAAAGGAAAAAAGAAGTATATATATTTTAAAGACTGTGGTTAGTTGAGAGAGGGAACACTGACATGAAGTACTAGGGGACCAATTTGGAGCCAAGAGAATGTGCACTCCCTTGCTTGTATCCTAAGAAGACTGCATTCTGATTGCCTTTAGCTATATGTTTATGAATTAAAGGGTTTCTGAGTTGTCTGTTTGACCAGTCTGGTTTTTATAATGTTGTGTAGCCGAGCATATTATAGGCATACCCACACTGTAAAATCAAGGCTCAGCACTTTGCTGACTGCCCGACTGCAGGAGATGCCTCTCACAGATTCCCAGGTCTTTGGAAACATGCTCTCTTCATTCTGCTTCCACCCTCTCTTTTGGCTCTATCTTCTCTTCTGGCTCTACCGGTCTCTCCTTTCCTTTCTCCAAAGCATTGTGCTATCTCTCTGTTGATTACTTTTTCAGTAAGAATTTATACTGATAACTAACAGTAACAAAGGATTATGTTTTCTCCAGCATCTGACACTGTGGGAAGCTAGAATAGAGGGAGGAAGGGGACATTTATTGGCTACCGATCTGCTAAAATAGAAGAGAAAAAAAATAAAAGGCAATCAACTTAAAAATCAGAGCCAATGTGCATTGGGTATCTACTATTCATGTAATAGCCTTTTATTGCACTTCTGTTTTCTGGGAACAGTTTCGATTCAATTCCAAAAGTATTTGAGTGGACATGTTCCTAACAATAGTGCTCGCCACTATGGTAGTTGAACTGTGGAAACATCTGCCTTCTAGGAACTTAGGGTCTTATTAGAAAGATTGATTGCCAAAAATTCATTGTTAGTTCAGTTGATCAATGTATTAATAATGATGATGATGATAATACTGATAATGCTACTTACATTTTTATAGGACCAAATGGTCTGCCTAGCACTTTCACGTGTATCTTATTTGTGCCTTGCTAAACCTTTTAAAGGAGAGAGTAGAAAGAAATAGGAATAATTGATAAGAAAGACCTTGACCTTGACTTTAAAACAATGATAGAGCCTTTTCATCATATACTTTCCCTAAGAGTCTGTGACAGTTCCTTTTTTTTTTTTTGAGAGAGAGAGAGAGAGAGAGAGAGAGAGAGAGAAGGAATGAATTTAAATATCTTTTGTTGCTTCTCTTGCAGCCATGGAAAGAATATGAGTTGGTCTACTCCTCTTAAGAAGGAGCTATAGGGCAACCCCCTTGAGTCCCTTCTCACTGTGGGAGCTTTTCTGGCCTCTCAATAAATCCTGCTTTCTAAAAAACAAACAAACAAAAAAGAAGGAGCTACAGTTTGTGTATTTTGATTTCCTGACTTTAAATTACTAGTTTTGACTGTTCTATGAGTTTTTTAGGTCTGGGGCAAGATTCTTCCTATGCCAGAAATAATTTCTTAAAATATGGGTATGGGTCTTGTTCTTCCAAACCTTTACTGAAGATTGTTTTGATCATAAATTATTAATCAAACTGTGTGTTAATAGAGGACTTCAGATTTTTTAAAATGCATTTTCATAACTATGCAGCTTTTTGATGTGTTTATCTTCTTTATTTAGCCTAGGGTAGCCGAACAGTTTCATCACAGGACTTGAATTAGATAATTCTCCTGGAATGCTGCACCAATACCTTCTGCTACACAGGCATATATTATCATATGGAATTATTATTTGCTGAGGCACTCCTGGTTCTTTATTTCTATAAAGTGATGAATGATAGTTTTTCTATTTCAGGGTAGGAGATTCTCTGAGGAACCTATTTTGAGGTCTGACTTTAGCCATGCTTAAGAAAGGCAAAACATGGATAGTTAGTTCTCTACTGCTTGAGTAAAGCACAATGATCAAACCATGACCAAGCCAACAAGCATTCCATGACCAAACACACAGAGTTCTCAGTTCTGAATTCTTTCTTAGTTGAATAATAAAATACAAATACTGATGTATATTTTTATCTGTTTAGTTATCTTAGTGACATTTTGCAGGGATTAGCAAACTGCAGACTGTCTGCCTGGTTTTGTAGATAAAGTTTTATTGTAACATAGCCACACCTGTTCAGTTACATATTGTCTGTGACTGCTTTCATGCTAGTGGCAGAGTAGAGTAGTTGCAACAGAGACCATATGACCCATGTTAAAAAAATAATGCCTTTGACTCGGAAAAAGAAAAGCTCTGAGTTAAAATAGGCCTTTGATCAAATCTTGGCTAGACATGTACTTATTAGCTATGTGTACAGTTAACATTTATGCAACACATAGGGGCAAGTATGGTGCCAGGTCCTGGGAGGCAACAGTAAAAAAGGTATGTTAGGTGTCTTCACTTAAGGAGTTTGTTCACTGAGTTTCAATTTTTACATCTATTGAAACTGAGATAATAGTGTCGATGGGGTTGTTATCAGGACTAAATGAGAAAGTGTGTTAAAGTAAATCGCATAGAATGACAACTAATTCCATTGCATTTTTGCAGAGTCATGATATATTTGTATTATTATTATTATTATTATTGTAGATTCAAATTAATGGAGACCGATTTTTTTTTTTTGAGTTGGAGTCTCACTCTGTTGCCCAGGCTGGAGTACAGTGGCATGCTGATGGGCACTGCAGCCTCAACCGCAGGACTCAGGAGATCCTTCTGCCTCAGCATTTCAGGTAGTGGGAACTACAGGTGTGCGCCACTACACCCAGCTAATTTTTTGATTAATTGTAGAGACGAGTTCTCACCAAGCTGCCCAGGCTGGTCTTGAATCCCCGAGCTCAGGCAATCCTCTTGCCTCCACCTCTCAAAGTGATGGGATTACAGGCATGAACCACCACACCTGGCTAATGAAGGCTAATTTTAAGAAAGAACAGAAGTTTATGATTAATAACATTTTGTAAAACAAGCCATTGTTTACTGTCCTTTAATTACTCATAAGAATTTAATATTCCTGGTAGCTATGGAATCCTCCTTGACATTTACACTGCATTTTTACCATATGAGATTCCTGGGAGATTTTTCAACAAGATCTTATCTTTAATAAAAAGTCACTAAATCATGCAACTTCCCAGCCAGTATTTGAAAAATCAAATTAGATATCTGACAGTTGTTCCAAAATCTGTCATTAATAGGCCTTAGCATACCCAACTGCCTGAGCCTGAACACCAGGCTGCAAATAGCCATTTCTGATATTTTAAGTAGTTGAAATAAAGATATTGCCAAGTCATAGGTACATAAATCTGGGAAGTATGGCAGCATACGAGAACATTCACAGAAGGTAGATACGTTTTGGCAGTGGGATGGCATCTCCTTTTATATAATTTAAAACTGAAGAAACATACTTGTCCTGGCTGTCCAAAATAACACATGGAATTTGGGGGACACTTCCCAGGAGCAGTCACCATCCAGAAAGTAAAAACACCAGGCAGTGACTATTTTGAAAGCCTTCCTAGCATTTCCTTAATTTCTTTATTGGCTGTGACAGGTCATTTCAAAGCCATTCATTTCCCTTCAAACACCAAATCTAAAGCACATAGAGGTGATTGCCATAATGTCACTCTGGTTAATTTTTAATTGCCTTTGCAGATGCTGTATCATTGAGCTCTGTTTCATTTAATCTTTCAAATGTATGAGATGATTCAAATTGGAAATTTCTTATCTCTGGCATTTCTTTATTGCTCATCTGCCTTTAAAGATTGAGTTATGTTTAAATTGTTTCCCTTCAAAATCTTAACTCTTACGCATTTATTTACAGCAAATCTCTGTTGGATCACATGATTGAAAACACTTCCAGGCTTTGAAATTCCAGTTGGAATAATAATTGGGTGATTTCACCACATAGACTTTTGCTGGGCTCTCAATAACACTTCCCGGAGGCTAAACATGGGGATTAATTGACCTCTGTAGAATGTGGTTAAAAATTAGAATGTCTGTGAGTGAACATTCTAATTTTTATTACAGAAGGAAGCTTTTCTTTTACTCCAGTTCAGCTATTACCTCCAGAAGTAGTTATCTGCTCTGTTTCCTTTCCTTGTAACTAGCTAACCTTTGGAGAGCCAAAGTAACACTTTCTTTATCCCTAGATCTCTGGAAAGATAAAACCTGTTATCTAAGTGAAGCTGGAAACACCTATCTCTTACCTAGAAGAATTTAGGCTATCATGGTTCCGAAAACCCTAAAGTCTTGATTATAAAAGATAGGAAAAGTTTTTCAAAATAATTTTTTTTTTTTTTGAGATAGAGTCTCACTCTGTCACCCAGGCTGGAGTGCAGTGGCACACTCCTGGCCACCGCAGCCTCTACCTGCTGGGCTCCGGCGATCCTTCCGCCTCAGCCTTCCAAGTAGCTGGAACTGCAGGCATGTGCTACCACACCCGGTTTATTTTTTGATTTATTGTAGAGAAGAGGTCTCGCCAAGTTGCCCAGGCTGGTCTCAAACCCCTGGGCTCAGGCAATCCTCTTACCTTGGCCTCCCAAAGTGCTGGGATTACAGCCACCCCACCCGGCTGCAAAATAATTTTACAATCAGATTTTAGTATATTTTCTCTTACATAATTTTCTTTTTTAAAAAAATATTTTAAAGATGGGTACAATTCAGGATTAGGTTTACAAGTGGACATAATGCAGGTAAAGTTTGGAACTCCCTTTGGACCCCATCACGCCTGGTTTGAGATCAGGTACTCTTACTGATGTTGTGTCTCCACCCCCACCCTGGCAGTATCCCACTACTGCCAATCCCTTTCTTATAGGATTATGGTAAATGTTCCGGGTTCACTTATGAGTGAGAATGTATGGTACTCGGTTCTTTGTTTCTGTGATAGGTCACTGAGTATTATAGACTCTAAATCCATCCAAATTGTTGCTAAGTCCATATGTTTATCCTTCTTTATGACTGCATAATATTCCATTGTGTATATGTACCACATTTTTTTCTCCAGTCCAGTTTTGATGGACAGCGTAGTTGGTTCCATGTTTTGCTATTGTGCTGCAATAAACATGCATATGTTAGTATTTTTTTTGTAAAATGATTTGAGTTATTCCGGGTATAATCCCAGTAGGGGGATTGCTGCGTCATATGGAAGGTCAATTTCTAGTTCTTTTAGAAATTGCCACACTGTTTTCCATAGAGGTTGAACTAGTTTGCATTCCCACCAGCAGTGTAGAAATGTTCCCTTTTCTCTGTGTCCTCGCCAGCATCTGTTGTTGTATGTTTTATTAATGATGGCCATTCTTGCTGGGGTTAGGTGGTATCTCAATGTGGTTTTGATTTGCATTTCTCTGATGATTAGTGAGGCTGAGTACTCTTTCATGTGTCTGTTGGCTGCCCACATGTCTTCTTTTGAGAAGTGTCTATTCATGTCTTCTCCCCACTTTTAATAGGGCTGTTTGTTTTTCTCCTTTCAGCATGTTTGAATTCCTTGTAGATCCTGGATGTTAGGCTTTTGTCAGATATATAGTTGACAAATACTTTTTCCTATTCTGTGGGCTCTTGTACATAATTTTCATTCATCTAGCCTAAGTTTTCTAATTTCAAGCCCAGTGACTCTTAGGTTTTTTGTTGCACATCATTTCTAGGGGCTTCTTGAAGATTAAACTGAATTAGAAAGTGGTATAGGTTGTGTGGCTCTTCCCACATGTAGAGTGGAAACTACATCTAGGTAAATAGAACTAACAGCATATTGTAGGTTTAGCAAACCCAATAACTATTTAGCAAACTCACTCATTACTTAGCAAACCCACTAACAGGCAAAAATGACCTATTTCCCACTTGCTCCAACCTTCACTACCAACACCCACACATCAAATCTACAGTCTGAGGTGTGTGTGATGTTGGGAAGGTTTAGGGTGAGAGGGAGGAGGAGATGTAGGAAGGTCTTGCCTATGAAGATGCAATTTTGAAATGCCTACATGAATTTATAGAGAGCAACTTAAAGTCTTATTTCTTTAGGTGAGAAAATTGGACTTTCTCACTGAATCATTTTGGGGGAGAAGATTAAAAAAATCAGTATGATACTATTTGATTAATTCCCTAACGAAGCTGAAACTGGTGGATTCTGTCTTATCTGTACTTTAGGGTCTGCTACTCAATGTACCAGTATAACTTGATATTATCTTGGGGTCATTTTTATTTTTAGCTATAGTTAGACTATTCTTTTGCTCCCCTGAATTTATTCATTTTTTTTATTTATTCAACATTTATTAAAGCCTTCTGTGTACAAAGCATTGTTAGTCCCTGTTTAGCAGGAAAAGATGTATTGATATGGTCCCAGCTCCATAGAGGCTGAAGAGGATTCCCACTTGGTTGTGAGGTGAGGACATGCATACAATAACTGTCGTTCATGATAGAAGATGCAAATGCTTGAGATGAATGCAGTTCTGTCCCATGAGGATTCAGAAGATAGAAGTTTAAGGCTCAGCAGATCAACAGCACACTGTATTGTTAAACATATTTGGCAGGAAATGAATTGCTTCAACCATACAGAAAAGTACAGGCAATAACACAACAAACATGTACCTATACCCAGACTTGTTAGTTCTTAATTTTTTGCAGTATTTGGTTCTGATTTCTTAAAAGTAATTCACTGAAGCCACCCTATGGAACCCTTCTATTTCCTTCTCTTCCTTTCCCTAGCATCCTCAGAAGCATTTATCTTTCCCATAGGTATATGAGTCTGTACTTGTGTATGTATCCATAAGAAAGATATGCGATTGTTTTACATGCTAAATTTTTTAATATAAATGGTACAATATTACATATAGTTTTCTGCAGTTTGCTTTGTTTTCTTAGCATCATATTTTCAAGATTCAACCATGTTATTGAATATACTTGTGATTCATTCATTGTAATTGTTGCAAAATATTCAATTCTTTGAAATATCCCAATTTTTAATTCATTCTTCTATTGCCATTTAATATTCTTCCTGTACTTTGGTATTACAATAATGCTGCTTCAGACATTTCTGAGCATGTCTCCATATATTCCTCGATGAGAGAGCTTCTAGGATATGCTTACAAGTGATACTGGTAGCTCGTGGAGAATATAGAGAATATATACCTACAACTTCACTAGGATTGCCAGATTTTTGCCCAACATAGTTATACTAGTTTCTACCATGTGTATATTTCCAGTAAACACACCACTATATTCCACCAGCAGTATTATCAAAGTTCCCATTACTTTACCTTCTTTTGTTGGAGTCTCACTCCGTCGCCCAGGCTGGATCCTTTCACCTCAGCCTTTCAAGTAACCGGAACTACAGGCGCAAGGTACCAATGCCCACATCCAGCTAATTTTGATTTATTGTAGAAATGAGGTCTCTCCAAGTTGCCCAGGCTGTTCTCAAACCGTGGGCTCAGGCAGTCCCCTCATCTAGCCTCTGAAAGTGCTGGGATTACAGGTTTCAGCCACCATGGCCGGCCTACTTTTACATTTATCTATACTTGGGATTCTCAGGCATATCAAATTTTGCCAACCTGATAAGTGTGAAATGATATCTCATTGCTGTTTAATATGTATTTCTTTGATTTCTTGTGAGAATCAGCATCTTTTCATGCTTATTGGCTGTCTAGCTTTCCTCCTTTGGCTTAATTATCATTTGCTCATTTTTCTGTGTATGTTTACTGATTTGTAGCCATTTTTATACGTGTATTTGGGATTATAATCCTTTGTCAGTTATACATAGTGCAAATATTTTCTTCCCTTTGTGTTTTTTCTCCCTCGTCTTTCTTTTTCTGGTGTAATTGTCAGAAAATTTTAAATGCAAATATAAAGGAATTTTTCTTTTAGTAACTTAAGAAATTCATTCTTATTTCAAGTTTTGCAAGATATAGTCTTCTCAAAGTTTATTATTTTTACTATTAAAATATTTGCTTCTTACATTTGTGTCTTAATCTTCTAGAATTGGTGATTGTTTATGTATAAGGACTCTGATGAATCTTAAAGACTAATGTTATATAGGAAAGTCAAGTGATATTAGTGAGTGAATAATTTTTAAACATTGTATTATATGCAATCTTGGAATAAGATTAGGAGGTTTCAAATGTGTGGTCTTCTCCACAATGGGAAAAATGAGAATCTAGTTCTATTTTGATGGATGATTTTTAATACATATTAGTTTCCCTAAACTAATATCAGTAGTACATTCCATAAACCCACCTCTAAGGAACCATTATCTAAAACTATGGGATAGCCTGGCGTGGTGGCTCACGTCTATAATCCCAGCACTTTGGGAGTCCAAGGTGAGAGGATTGCCTGAGCATACAGGCTTGAGACCAGCCTGGGCAACTTGGCAAGACCTCATCTCTACAATAAATCAAAAAAAATTAGCCAGGTATGGTGGTGCACGCCTGTAGTCCCAGTTACTTGAAAGACTGAGATGGAAGAATCACCTGAGCCCAGCAGGTCGAGGCTGCTGTGGCCTTGAGCATGCCACTGCCCTCCAGCCTGGGCAACAGAGTAAGACTCCGATTCAAAAACAAAAAACAAAAACCTATGGGATAACATGATTATTTTAACTTATTTATGTCAAGACTTAATTTCCCTACCATTCTTACATTACCTAGTACAGAGTAAGTGCTTAAATGTTAACTGCAGTTGTACTTTCTTGTGCATGCTGAGTCTCTCTCTCTTTCTCTCCTCTCTCTCCCCTTTCTTTCTGTTTCACACACACACACACACCACTCGTTTTCGAAGGGGTAAGGGAAATTGATGAATTCTTCAGTGAGTGCTGTTTGCTTAGATGTGGAGAAAACATGGATAGGAGGCAATTAATTTGAAAAACAACTTCTAATAGACCTTTTTCGTGAGTAACTAAATAATACTGTGCTTCATTCTGTTAGCATCGAGAATTTAAATAACTTAGTGCCAGGCTTGAAAATAATATTAATAGGGCAAGGCGCGGTCGTTCACGCCTGTAATCCCAGCACTTTGGGAGGCTGAGATGAGAGGACTGCCTGAGCCAGGGGTTCAAGACTAGCCTGGGCAACTTGGTGAAACCTCATCTCTATAACAAATCAAAAAATTAGATGGGTGTGGTAGCACACCTGTGGTTCCAGTTACTTGGAAGGCTGAGGCAGAAGGATCCCCTGAGCTCAGCAGGTGGTGGCTGCGGTGGCCATGAGTGTGCCACTGCACTCCCACCTGGGCGACAGAATGAGACTCCTATTCAAAGAAAGAAAGAAAGAAAATAACATTAACTCATATGTTGTTAGCATTTTAACTTGGTTTCTAAACTCAAAACTGGTGTTATATATTTATCTTTGTGTTTGGATTTCATAAGTGATTTGGTTCATGCATATCTGCCTCTTATTCTAAAGAAGCTATTGTAGAAGAGCTTAAAACTCTGTGTACATTTTCATATATAATACTTAACACAATTGGCCTCACAATTTATTTTTGATAATGAATTTTATTCTCTGAGCACCCATATTGCTTGTTTGCATTTCTCAGTGGTACAGTTTTTGCCTTGTATTATATTTTTCTGTGTAGCTCCCTATTCTTAAACTGTGTTAGATTATAAACTTCTATTTATCTTGGTATTTCTGAACCACCCCCTAGCCTAATGTCTAACAGTACACTGCTTTGGAAATGTTTGCTGAATGACTACTTGTTATATTTTATTAGTAATAGCTATTAAAAGCTACAGCTTTTATTATTAATACTGCAGTATTCAAAGTGCTTTCGGCATCTGATTGCACTTAACTCTTGGGACAATACTGTGATGTGGATATTATATTAATACCTCAATTTTATAAGCGAGAAAACAAAGCATATTAAAGTTAAATAATTTTTCCAGGCTCAATAGCAGTAGTAGGGGTGGCAATTCCAGGACTTAGTACTCTTCCTTTCCTGCTCTTAACAACAAGTACTAGCATAAGAAACACATCAAAGACCTGGCTTGGTGGCTCAGTCTGTAATCTCAGCACTTTGGGAGGCCAAGGTGAGTGGATTGCCTGAGCCTGCAGGTTCAAGACCAGCCCAGGCAACTTGGTGAGGCTTCATCTCTACAATAAATCATAAAAATTACCCTGGTGTGGTAGCTCGCGCCTGTAGTTCCAGCTACTTGAAAGGCTGAAGCGGATGGATCGCCAGAGCCCAGCAGGTCAGCGCTGGGATGGATCACCAGAGCCCAGCAGGTCAATGCTGGGGTGGCTGTGAGTGTGACACAGCACTCCAGCCTGGGCGACAGAGTGAGACTCCAACTCAAAAAAAAAAAAAAAAAAGAAAGAAAGAAAGAAAAGAAACACATCAAAGATAATAAAATTGGGAATATTAGCTTAAGCTCTGCTGAATATTTTACAAGTTATAATCCCAGATCCAGTTCTTCAACTACAAATCCCTTGTTTAATTCAAATCCAAATTTAATTCCTCTTACTATCGTCTGTAGGTACGACCAGCCAGACAAAAACAAGAGTATGCATTCAAACAAAAAAGGCAGTATGGATAGTTTGACACTTTAGGTATGAGTCGCCTGGATATGTGTGATTCTTTATTTAGGCTTTGTTAAAGAAATGTGTTTCTGGATTCTCACTGTCCTTAATAACACCTGCTTGTTCTGTTTTGTTTTCGTTCAAAAAGTGTTTTCCTTTGTTATGGCTATTAAAATTCATTTGAGAGTGAGGATGTATGAGGCTATTAAAAACTAATATAGTTTACATTCTTTCTAATGCTTCCTCCCCTGTCATAGGCCATCATTTTGTGTAACTGGATTATAACTTACATGAGAGAGACACTTAGCAGAAAGAGTTGGATGGAAAAATTCCGCCTTGCCTATCATGAGCAATCATCTCACTAGGGCTTAACTACCATCAGCTAGTTACACATAAACTCTGTAACACATAATATCAGTGGGGGTGCAGAATAGAGAAATTCATGCACTATCCAAACTTTAACAGAGTTTCAGTGATAGAGGACATGGTGGTTGAGGTGCACAATTAATATTTTATTGTTAATGACTCAAAAATCCTTTCTGAAGAAACTGCTGACTAGTTGTCTCCTTTTAAGCCAGATCTTGTAGTCTCCAGATTTCTCAGATTTCTTTTTGTTTG